TACGCGGCTGGGCCTATTAACCGTGGGCTTAATAGCCGGCGACTACTGTACCACGGAAAGCAAGAGCATAAAACACCGACATGGCATCAGACCAGACGTCAGGTCATCTGCTCTTTTAAAGACTCTTCTAGGAAACGTTTTGATTTATGTAAGCAAGCCATCATTAGTACTGGCGGCCTTCACGGCATGTCAATGTTTCCTTACACAGCGTGAACCGTTTATAAGGCGCATCTATAAGTAAATTAAACGGCAAGCTCGGTTGGTGTACTGAAAGGCGACATTTTGTTGGCTCGTTAAAATATCTGTCTTTATCGCAAACTTTCATCAAGACACCGAGGCTGGCCCCAATTAACAAATTGTTTTAAAGGAATTATATTTGTTGAGATTTTAATCCCTCCCCCTCTACACACGATACACCCCTAGCCTCTGCCACAATATCTTTCTCCCACAAGCTTGTTAAACACTGATTACTTTTTGAAGCAGATAACTGAACCCTCAGTTGCCTATGTTAAGTGGAAAGAACTCTGAGCCGTCACCACGAAGTGTAAAACCTAATAATTAACTGTTTAATGTTGACCAGATTAAGCTGGTCATTTAATTCAGCAAGTTAACGGGCAAGATGCACATTCGGCATACAAAATCCGAAACTCAGATGATGCAGGGCCTGTTTGCACGAAGCAGCAGAAAAGCCTCTTGCCCCGCTATCAAACGCAACTTTCCAATCGTCCTACAGCCAGTAAAGCCGTGCCTACGCGCTACAAAACGCCAGGCGAGAAGGCGAGGACGTGGCGAAACAAAGAACCCGAGCACGTGAGCGTGCCAAACGAGGGCAGCGTGCGCTACATTGCACTAATGAGCTAAACCCGTGCGCCTATCAGAACGCCGGAATACGCCTGAGCGAAAGGCTGCCAAAAACTCCATTGGTGGAAGAATGTTCCGACTGTTAGGTGATTGGCTAGAACGTTTCTGGAATGGTCATGCAGGAATGATCTAGAAGGTGGTGGATGAAATAAATAGCCTGCGATACGCCAGGGGGCACATTTTGGCTCAGCCCGTGCTGTCAGTGTTGCGTTTGTTGGTGGTGCATAATGTCGAAGGGAAACGCGGTCGGAATCGATCTCGGCACGACTTTCTCATGTGTTGGCGTTTTCCAACACGGAAAGGTAGAAATAATCGCCAATGACCAGGGTAACCGCACAACGCCCAGCTATGTTGCCTTCACTGACACCGAACGTCTGATTGGAGATGCAGCGAAAAATCAGGTGGCAATGAATCCCTCTAACACGGTGTTCGACGCGAAGCGCCTGATCGGCAGACGTTTTGACGATCCGACGGTGCAGTCCGACATGAAACACTGGCCGTTCACTATAGTGAATTCGGGTGGAAAGCCGAAGATTGAAGTTGAATATCGTGGAGAGAAGAAACAATTCAGTGCCGAGGAGATCTCCTCTATGGTGCTGGTGAAGATGAAGGAGACGGCTGAGGCGTACTTGGGCAAGAAGGTGAATGATGCGGTGGTCACAGTGCCTGCTTACTTCAACGATAGCCAACGTCAGGCGACTAAGGACGCTGGTACGATTTCGGGCATGAACGTGTTGCGTATCATTAATGAACCAACAGCTGCTGCCATTGCCTACGGTCTGGACAAGAAGGTGGGTGCAGAGCGCAATGTGCTGATCTTCGATCTGGGCGGTGGTACCTTTGATGTGTCCATTCTGAGCATTGAAGACGGCATCTTCGAGGTGAAGTCGACGGCCGGTGACACGCATTTGGGTGGTGAAGACTTTGACTCTCGACTGGTGAGCCACTTCACGCAGGAATTCAAACGCAAGCACAAGAAGGATCTGAGCACGAACAAGAGGGCCATTCGTCGTCTGCGAACTGCTTGTGAGCGAGCCAAGAGGACGCTGAGTACGAGTGCGCAGGCGAACATCGAGATTGACTCTCTGTTTGATGGCATCGACTTCTACACCTCGATCACGCGTGCTCGCTTTGAGGAGTTGTGTGCTGATCTGTTCCGCAACACACTGGATCCGGTGGAGAGATCACTGCGTGATGCGAAATTGGACAAGTCATCCATTCACGACGTCGTGTTGGTGGGTGGCTCGACGCGTATTCCAAAGGTGCAGAAGCTGCTGCAGGACTTCTTCAATGGGAAGGAGTTGAACAAGTCGATCAATCCGGACGAGGCTGTGGCCTATGGTGCAGCAGTGCAGGCGGCCATCCTGAGTGGTGAGAAGTCGGAGGCGGTGCAGGATCTGCTGCTGTTGGATGTGGCTCCGTTGTCCTTGGGTCTGGAGACTGCTGGCGGTGTGATGACTGCACTGATCAAGCGCAACACCACGATTCCCACGAAGCAGACACAGACTTTCACCACTTACTCGGACAATCAGCCAGGTGTGCTGATACAGGTGTACGAAGGTGAACGTGCCATGACGCGTGACAACAACCTGCTTGGGAAGTTCGAGCTGTCAGGCATTCCACCAGCGCCTCGTGGTGTCCCACAGATCGAGGTGACCTTCGATATTGACGCCAACGGCATTCTGAATGTGTCTGCGGTGGACAAGTCGAC